ATACACACACACACACACACATATATATATATATATATATATTATACATATATATATATATATATATATTAATATAATTGTAAATACAAGCAAACTATCGTAAATTTAAAGAACATCAATTCTGACGGAAACACCTTGCGACTGTGTATACTGGTCGTTTCCAAATAAACTCAGTAATAACATCATATAAGCGATATCCTCTAACATACCCGTTACTAGGTCACGGCTCTTGTACTCATCCCTGAGCTATGGAGCATGATTTATGTAACAGTCACATACTACTCCCATATTATCATGCGTATCTATAAGAGATAAATGCGTGTCTATAAGAGATAAGATAGACGCTATACACCATACACTCGACATACCCACTGCCAGGATACGGTGCCGAGGACAGTCCCTGTGCTAATGAATAAGAAGCAGGCATCTCCTCGGGTCTATGTTGCGACGTAGGACCTCCTGGGTACGGCGCCACACTACTCGCACCAAACACAGTTGAGTATGTCTGTGGTAATGCTTGTGCTGGCTGGTGTTGCTCTGTGCTTGATTGTGAGTATGTCGCAGCCAGGCTCCCACCTGCCCCGGTAGGGTACGGCGTAGTTGGTGCATTGGCATTGGGCTGGGACGGGTAAGCTGAACTGTGACTACTGTCCGCTGAAGGGTATGAGGGATACGGTGCAGTATTAGAGCGTGGCTGACCAGATGTCGGTGTGTTGTCTGTACCGGTACCGCTGTAGGTTGAAGATGGTGACGCTACGTTGGGGTAGGGAGGGTAGGGTGTATTGGTATTGGCGTTGTCGTTTCCCGGGGGCGCGGAGCCCTGGTGCTGGTCCGACATGATCGATAGGAACACGCTATCGATATAGTAAACAAACCTGTTCTGATATTGTATAGTCGGAAGTTATATACAGTTATCTATTTAAGTAAAAAACGTACATACAAGGGCTTTATATAAATACATATAAATACATATAAATAAATATCCGATTCTAATCACTTGATATTTATGGCCACTCGAGTTAAGCTCTTGAATGTGGGCTGCGCCGCCCCGCGGCGCTCACGCCTCATTAAATACGTTAAAAGTCTCAAATTACAGCATTCAGGGACAGTTCAGTATACGTTGCATGTAAACGTAGAAAGTAATTTAAACGTTACAACGTATAATTGGGTCAGTGGTTCACAGTATAAATACCTCAAAGTTGAACGTATTTAAACATAGCCTTCTGAAAATTAAACATTTTTAGTTGTTGAAAAAATAAACTGCTCACATCAAATTCCAAGAGATACTTGTGGAAAATCGTGTTTCCATTGGATAAGAAAACCCCGCTTTTCCATATTAGGTAGCTTTAAGTGACGCCAGGAACCCTGGGGGGATAATGGATAAGGGTTTTTTTAGTCATCGTCATGTGTAACATTTAAAAATTTATATATATATATATAAATATATATATATATATATATATATATGTATATAAAATTGCGTAGCGTAAACAATTAAACATTGTATTGCTTTCTGGATCATCATGCGTGTACACGTCCTAGCAGGTGCTGCGCTCTGTCTGCTAGCACGTGACTGTAGCGCATCGACGGACGCAACTACCGAATACTACAAAATGAGAAATTCTATCCACTCACAGGTATGTTTTGGTTGGTGTAGCATACTCAGTATTTCTGTTTCTCACGGCGTAGCTTACTCGATGCTTCAAGGTAAACGAATGCTATTCACCGATACTTGGGATTATTTATTTGGTTGCTTGTTTGATTTGAAGTCTCTAGTGCAAGGGTGAGCAAGTGTTAGTTTAGACCATGGAAGTTGTGACCATTCTCACAATTGTGTGTAGTTTCTGAGTAGTTATACTAAAGGTTCATACATTCGATGTAGTTCGTGGTATATATTTGTTAGCGGTAGATATCATAACAATACCGCGAGAAGAATCAAACATAAAACATCGCTGAACGAACCAACGACAGCAAGATGGTCATGTGAATTTTCCACGTTTTTAAGCTCAGTGTGCATAGGTCTATCACCAATAACGTACACCGTGAAAGCGTTTATCTCTGTCCAACGGATCCTTTGACATGTATTGAAATGGTTATTACACAAATATTTACTGGAGAAAATCTCCTGACCTTTAGTTCTTTGTCATCATAGAAGCAGAAGCGCTCTCATAGCGCACACATAAAAGTGTTGCACACTTTGCTTCTAATAGTCAAGGTGCCTGCTTAGACATATCTAGCTATTCAGCGGTTTTCCTATAGTCTGTATCATATGATATGTAGTAGCTTCCTCAGTCCAAATCGATATTGCTATTTATCATCGAGCAGTGTGCGCGTATGGACCCCACAAACAGCTCAATTTACACCGGCGGCTGTGCCGATCCCGACATGCTATACTTCCACTACAATGTAACGTCCCGGATGTTCAGTACGTACAACAACCTGTGCCTGAGCGTACAGAACGAGGTCGATATAGTACTCTGGAACGCCGATGGTGACGGGACAGAGGCAAACGCGACCAGCACGTCGACAACGGTGTCAAGTGGTAGTCAAGGTAACCAAGCCACCTCGAACGCAGAGACGAGCGCACAGACAAGTACGAATATAATCACAAGCACAGACACATCAGCAACTAGCTCTGCGGACGCGAGTGAGTTGGGTAGCGACTACCAAAGCCTTTTAAACTCCTTCAGCCGCGCAGTGGCATCGCGTCAGAGTGAGGACTCTGCCATAGCCATGGCAACGGTGACGGCTACCGAGACGAATACAACAGCTGAAGCAGCCCAAACATCTCAGGACGGGGACGGCCTGGTTTCGGGACAGGAGTCCCAGTTAATGGCTTTTGAGTGCAATTCTACGGATACGAAGCAGAAATTCGGGGTCAGCGAGGGCATTTTTGGCCAGTTACTGTCGGACTACTACCAGCTGTGTGCCGATGTCGAGCATCAGCACTACAATGCGCGAGTGATCCTATGGACGTGCAAGGACATCAACAACTACAAAGCGCCGAACCAGCAGTGGTACTCATACGGCTACGAGAGGAATGTGACTGAGCTCAATGAGACGTACTATGAGCGCGATCAGGGTGTGAACGTGCTCTGGCCAGAGGTATCGGCCGGGTAGGAGACCCATAGCTAGCTTGCTTGCTGCTTATGCAAGTACTTGATATATCAGCCTCTAGACGACGGGGTATCTCAACTTATATAAACCTAACATAATGATGTTTGCTGCAGTCATGCGGTTTGCCGGTTGGAAGGCCGATAAGGGTTGTCGGCCCTGTCCTGTTCAATGCGGGACTGGTTTCTACTGGTAAGCTATATGTGGAATGTTCACATTTCGATACCATGTCGTCGGCATTCCGACTGTACAGAATAAGGTTTTGTATAGGCTGACTCATATCGCCATAGTGTTGAGGACAGTTAAATGTTACATAAACAGAATTGCAGGTCGATCGCAAAGGCGAACGAGTGCAGCCTAACGGACTTTCGAGATTTCGTTCCCGTTGTCTGAATGAGTTCTAGTAGGCATATTTTGATATATATATATATATACATACATACATACATACATACATACATACATACATACTACATACATATATATATATATATATATATATATATACAAGAATTTTGAAAGTCTGTATACCCGGTATATATATATAATCCACAGCAAATCATTAGTACGTATAAAGAGGCAGCATAAATATTCGGCTGTATACGTTTACAAAGGTAAAGCGTTTCAAGCATGAAAGGTGTGCCAGCGATCAATACTTGAGGTGTTAGGCGATAGTCACATTAGTAGTGCATCTGATCTTGAATTTTTTACAGATAGCAACACCACCCTACACCTTCTGACTGAAACTGGTACGTCTCTCGACTCGTGTTGGTCACCGTCGAGTGCGTCGCTAATAGAGTTGAGATTGAAATTGGTGTAAATCCGTAGATATATCATTATATTCAAAATATATTTTGTTTCGCTAGTATGAATAAAGGTCACTGTGTTGTATTTCTCTCCTCTGTAACTCCCAACCACCCAAGCCTCTCATCACTCGTACTTGATCCGTTTTTCCGTCGCGCACAAGTAGAAGGACTTCTTTATCGCACCCTCCTGCGAGTGTGCGTGCAAACACCATCCAATCGGACCATACTCACAGTCCGCGCATGTCAGATACTTGACCAAGTCTTCGCTATTATCTTCTTTCACTGAGTGGGAGAAGCCCACATTCTCGAAGTCGAACATATCCGAGACTTCCCAAAATCCAGTCACCGCTTCAATAGTCTGAATTGGGTAACACATAGGAAATCAGAGCGATTAAAAATCACATTTGAAAACGGAGCATATTCAGAAACAGTACGCGCATGTGTTCTATTAATAAATTCAGTGATGAAACAATTCATTCCAATTGACACGTGCATGATCTGCTCTCGCGCAAACGCAGACGACCAATACCATTGAGGGGTAATGCATTATAAATAGAGCACAACAGCAGAAGCCGATGTGTTTTAGACAAAACAGAATTCAACTAATATATATATATATATATATATATATATATATATATATAGAACAACACACACATATATATATATATATATATTATATAAG